TCTCAGGACCTGGTAGATACCTTTAGAACGATGCATTAGGAGGACGATGGTTTTACCTGGTAGAAGACTGAACTTTATTGTAGCTGGGGGGGTCCTGTGGGATATGTGTATTGACTCGGAACTGGGAGTCTCCTCTATGTCAGATCACCATCTAATTTTTATTGACGTGACATCTAAAGACTTAGTGCAAAAAGTGAGACCACCCTTTAGGCTAAATGTTAATTTACTTAAAGATAAGGGTATTCCCACAAGGGGTTGAAGATCAGATGGCCAAGTAAACCACGACCCAAGATTTGTTCGACACATAAGAGCAGTGGTCGAAATGAGACAGAATATAATAAACGAAGCTCTCATGGTATTTTTCAGAATCAACGCAACCAATCGAAACTGAAATGAAAAGTCTTTACGTAGACAGATCCAGGAAGCGGAAGACAATATGGGGATGAACCTTTTCGCTGATCTATATCGATAAGAAAAGTGGACAACGACCCTATGCAAATTGGAAGAAGTTGAATCCCATAAGCAAAAAGAATGGTTGGATTGACTGAGGCTCAAGGGTCTGACTGACTATGATCGCATGATGAAATAAATATTCAGATCCTTAATACAAAACCAAACAAAGTCCCTTATACGGGAACTGATTCACTCGTTTACCCATGACTTGGCTCCCGCTTCAGACACCTCCTCCATGTGCAAGTATGCATTAGACTACTTTAGGAAAATTGTCTCCACTTGTCGACCACATGACAATTTTGAGTTTGATTTTGCCATGGATTTATAATTTTGGAATAAGACTAGGGTTCAAATCTCTGTGGAAGCCAGTAATGGTCTAGATGCCCCCTTTATTGAGAATGAACTGCAAAAAGTTCTTAAACAAATTATCAAAGTTTGTTTGGGGAGTTTTTCTTAAATGTTTGGGATGCATTTGCTTCATTCCTTTATCAGATATACAACAACTTGCGTACGTTTGTTAAAGGAAACGTATCTTTGTTGTACAAAAAATGTGATAAGAAGAAAGTTTGCAACTATAGACCTATCTCTGTGTTAAATGTGACATATAAGATCTTGGGCAAGACATTGGCGATTTATCTAGCATATCTCATCCCTAGCCTGATAGGTTGGGAGCAGGGTGCATTTGTAAAGGCCGCGTGATATACAAAAATATCATATTGATTGCAGTCCAAGCTTTGAAAGTAATCAGCAAAGAGAAAAGGGAAGTAGTAGTCCTTCGCCTAGATATGGAGAAGACCTACAACAAGATGGGTTAGGCCTTCGTCGCTACAACGCTAAAAAGAATAGGATTTAGACCGGAGTTTTGTCAGTGGGTAAAGGCAGTGTACTCCAAGGCAGTGTTCTCTGTCATAGTTAATGGACAACTTTCAAACAAGTTCCAACGCACACGCTCTTTATGCCAAGGATGCCCACAGACACTTTTACTTTTTGTATTACAGTTAGAAAACCTTGTGTACAACATAAGAGCAAACCCCTTAATTTTTTTATCCGATGCATCAATAAATTGGAACAAACCCACATACTTTCTGTCTGCCCCCTTCACCCTGGAGGTCGATTGGGGTTTGAGGCAAGTGCCGACAGAGAATTCTGAGCGGTTCTTGGGGCTTCAAGTTTCCCTATTTGACTGCTCGACTGCCCAAGACCAGCTCTTGGCCGACCGAGTAACAACTAGAAGCTGTAATTGGGAAAGAAACCATAAGCTCTTATTTTTTGGGCGAGCTTTGATAACTCCAGCTGCTGCATTTTCATTATTGTGGTTCTCCCTATCTATTGTGCGTCTGGGGGATGAGGCCTATGCACGCATTAAGAGGTGTGCAACAGGGTACATTTGGAAGCCAGGCGCCGAGGAGGAAGAAGACTTCATGATTAAGGTGGCTTGGGAAGTAGTAACCCTGCCTCGTACGGAAAGAGGTCTGGGCATACTAGACCCCAAACATTAGAACTTGGCCCTCCTTATTAAGTGGATCATTGAAACCATGTTCGATGCTCCAGAGAAGCCCTGGATCAAGTTTGCGGAGTATATTTTGGGCAAAGAATGGTCGTTGACTGACCATGAGGACGTGTGGCTATGCTGTCTTTTATCTTCTTTCTCCAACAGAAGGCCCAAATCGAGGTTGTGGAAAGGGATTCTACAGGCATGGCACAAATTGCTTCCTCATACGTTGCCTGATCCCAAGTCAAGGTATGAGGTAGCCAATCAACTACTTTTTGAAAACCAGTATATCCTTCAGCCTAACCAGGAGCCTTCCTCAACAGGAGATGAAATGATAAATTTTGGTAAGCCCTGGACGGAGAAAGGTATCTTGCAGGTCAAACATATTTGGGACGAGGAACAACAGTCGTGGATAACAACACATTCCTTCCGAAGGAATTTACCTATATTACATAACGTGGCTCGAAACCTAGCTTGCCTGATTACGGCGATACCACCCCAGCGGGCCAAGTTACTAAGGGGGGAAGACGAGTTAGGTGCTGGTACCTGTGTTTATGCTGAGGATACACCAGGGCGGGTTTGGAAAGTGGTAGACCCATATTTGGTCCCATGTATGAAGGTAGAAGAGTGGAGGGTACCTGTGACTCCATCTGCCCAAATATAGCTTATCTACATTTCAGAAATCTTTGTTCCCACCACAAAGGGTATGAAGGAAGTTCATGTTTGGGAATCTGTTTAGAAAAAGCAGGCCACACGTCTAGGTCCGGCAGATCAATTTTGAATAAACTCACTGTCAAGGGGTTGGGTCACCCCCGAGAGAGGGACACTCCGTCAAGAGACTTCCCCGCTCATCAAGTATAGGACAAGGGTGGGCGTGCGGGTGCAGCAGGCCAGTGTAAAGAAAAAGCCGCTCTTGTTGGCAGAGGAACGCTTTAAAAGATATAAAGACCCTCAAGCAACTCAACCCAACTGGAAAGCCTTTTGGTAGATGTTGACCGCTATACCGTCCCAGCCTGCAATGACAATTCTCTCATGATTGTCCCCACTTCAACATGGCTGGCTAATCGAGGAATGCAGGTTTCTCGTACTTGCTGCGGATGTGAGTGGGGATGGGAATCTAACGCCCACCTCTGGCTGGTTTGCCCACTATCGGAGGAAGTCTGGCGCTGGTGGAAGAAGCATTGGTCAAGACTTACGAATGACTTCTGACCCTAGACGAACGAGTGGATATTGTATGGCTTGTTACAAGGGGAAAGGGGAGACCTCCAGTACGGCTGGAGCTATGTGGCGCTGGTCTACAGAGGAGTCATTCTGCAGGAAATCTGGAGGGCCAGAAATGTGAAGATCTTTCGTGGAGATTCGACTCCGGTCCAATAACATGCGCTTCCAATTACGTTCCTATTGGAGTAATTGCTTCTCCAGCAAGAAGAAAGGGAACTTGTGGTTTCTGAAGACATGAGCTAAGAATAATCAGTTGGCAATTGTTACTTCATATAGGAAGTTGGGGATCTCCAAATGGTTGAAACCGCCGTAGGCCTCCTGCGGCAATACTGAGGTGAAAAGTGTTATCAGGTGGAGTGCAACGGGCCAAGGTTGAGAGGTCATTGGACTCCCAGATCAAGTCTTAGCCTTACTTTTTGCTATATTAATGTCCCCTGAGAGAGCGAGGTATAAGCTCTGGTTTTTAACGTTGAGTTTTTGGGAAGTTTATTAGGTGAATGGTTTCTTAGGGGACGCTGGACCAGTTTCCACCACCAAGCCGAAGCTGGGTAATGGCCCCAGTAGTTCCTCCGGGTCGAATTGGGAGGTTCCCGGCCTCTGTTCCTTTCACTGGTAATAAAATTGACCAGCTTTCCCCAAAAAAAAAAGAAAAAAAAAAAGGAAACCCAACTGCACGGCTTGACCAATCCTGGACCAGGATCGCCTGCTGGAAAAAAAAAAAAAAAAAAAAAAAAAAAAAAAAAAAAAAAAAAAAAACAAAAAAAAACATTTAAAAACTTTTGGGAAAAAAAAAGGGAAGGATTTTTTTTGAAAAGTTTAATTTTTTATCCAAAAAAAAAAAAAAAAAAAAAAAAAAAAAAGCCTCACTTGGAGTGCCGGCGGTATCCGCTGACACATGAACTCAAGGTACGAAACTCAAGGTACCTCCAGGACGTACCTTGAGTTCAAGGGCAATTTTGCCCATGGCCAGCGGCACTTGAGTTTCAAGTATGCACACTTGAGAGCAGGAAGGAGACGTACCTTGAGTTCAAGTGCACTTTTGCCCCTGGCCAGAGGCACTTGAGTTTCAAGTCTGCACACTTGAGAGCAGGAAGGTGAAAACATTACGGCGGGGGTCATTAGGGAGGGGTGGAAAGAGTAATTTTCCGTGCCGTCAACCCTTCCTTGAGTTCAAGGGGTGTCGAGTTGCACTACTCGCCATCCGCCAACGTTTTGATTGCATGTGGACATGCAGTCTGTCCAGATGCATTCGAGTAGTGCAACTAGGGCCTAAGCCCCGTTCGTCACAGGGCCGATATAGCTCTCAATACTCACCCTCAACTGCTCCTAAGCCTTCGCAGGGGATCCCTGCAAGGGTAGCTACCTTTCACAATCAGGGGCACGCATGTGGGCCCCTGCCCTGATCGGTGGTGGTCAGGGCGTAGGGTGGGGCCGCCAGTTGGGGGGGGTGGGGGGCGGCTATTTTCGGGCCCAAAGACCGAGCATTTTGCCAGTAGCTGCGCCTCGCATCTACTTCCCCCCCCCCCGTCGAATAACCCCAGTGTTTGGGGCCAGCCCCCCCAACCCCCCCCCCCCCCCCCCCTCTCCCGCACACACACACACCTCACACACAGGTGCTCTAACGAACTGATACTCGCACGAAAACTTCTTCCACGAAGCTGTGGACGTCAGTGCGGTCAGGTTCATCCTCCCCCTCGCTGTAATTGCGGTCAGATGCATTCCGGAAACTGCTAGTGTGAGTATGCCCTGACCTACCGCTCGTTGTCCTATTCTTCTTCTTCTTTTTTTCCGTGTCTCGTTGCGAACACGCAAGTGTCTGTCCAGAGGAGAAGGA